CCCCTGCTGGTCCCTCGCAGATGTGCTCCTGGATAATTTTCAAGGAGCTACCCCAGGACCGAGGTAAGACTAATGGGCCTGTAGTTTCCTGGGTACTCCTTCCTCCCTTTTTTGAAAATGGGGACCACACTGGCCCTTTTCCAGTCCTCTGGCACCTCACCAGAGCACCATGAATGCTCCTAAAGCTGTGCCAGGGGTCCCTCAATAACCTCTGCTAGTTCCCTCAGCACTCTGGGGTGAAGATCGTCAGGACCTGCTGATCTGAAATGTCTAGTCCCACCACAAGTTCCCTGACTAGGTCCTCACTGTCATTACTATAAAGAGTAAGTTTTAAGAATGATGTTATTAAAGAAAGGTTATTATTAATTCTTTTTATAACAGTGGTTCCTAGAGGTTGTATTGTTCAGGGCACTGTATATAGACACATGAGATGGTCTGTCTTGTCTGTTTAGATTTTAAGCATTTTGGGGCAAGAAATGAGTGGGAGAGGAAACAGATTGCCCAGCAAACTTGCCCAGTATTACACAGAAGGGATGAGTAGGACCTGAATATAGGTGTCCTGACACCCCATCCAGTGCTCCCAGATCAAAGTGAACAGTCACTAAAACCCAGAAATTAACTGCTTAAAACTGAGCAACTGTATGTGCCCTCTGGCTCCAAACTGTCACACTAAGGCCTGTCTTGAAAATTATTCAGATTAAGAGAGGGCTTGAATTTAAGGCACAAAGCTATTATTGAATAACCCTATATGGAGACACATTTAATCTGGAATAAGTATGCTTTGCTTTTATCTAATGTAATTTGTTCTCAAACCAGATTAAATTAAAGTGGAATAGGGTAATCTTATTGCATACTATGAATAGCCACATATGGAGTTATTCAGGAACACCCATTCCAGAGTAGGTATTCTGGAATATATATTCTGGTAGCAATCAGTGTTTAGACAAGCCCTAGTACAAAAGTCATTAAAGCCCATTACAAAGCGATGCATTTTCCTAGCAAGAGATAGGCATTGTTTGTCTCTCTTTTAGAGGAAATATATCCGCAAACCCAACCTCAAGGCACGGTTATTTCAAATAAAACAAAAGCCAAAAGGTCCACACTCTCTTGTCTTTAACTTTTATCCATATGTCACATACCGAATTTGAAGGAGTAACTTTAAAGAAGGTGATATGCCTCTGGAGGGCTTGTTTACACAGAATTATTCCTGATTAACTCTAGGCATGAACACTTAATCCAGAATAAGTAACTTGGTCATGAATAAATTAATCCGCTAAAGACACTCATACTCTCACTAAAAGGGTAGTAAAGGACTGGTACAGGTTACGTTGTGGAATTCTCAGTCGTTGGAGGTTTTTAAGACCTGGCTAGACAAAGCATTGGCAGGACTAATATAGTTGGGGATGGTCCTGCTTTGAGCAGGGGGGTGGACTAAATGACCTCCTGAGGTCCCTTCCAACCCTCATTTTCTATGGTTCTGGAATAAGAGTGTCCACACATGGAGTCAATAAGGGATTGTTATGAGGAATAACCACATATATAGACAAGCCTGCATAACAGAAATTGCTGTAGAAGAGGTACTATTTTCCCCATCACAGAAATCATAGAACTAAAGCTAAGAAACCTACACACTAAGGGTGCAAAGTGTCAAGATTTACCTCTGTGGACTTCATACTGTTTTGCTGATATAACACAGCCTACATCCTTCTTCAATGAATCTCATGAAAATTTGGATTTGGGTTCCTCTTACAGAAAGGATCAACTGCCTTCCAGCTGTCTCAGTTCAGTTACTGATGTTTTTCACATGCAGCAACAGTAATGGAAACAGCTATTAGTTTTCAGAGTTGACAGTGTCTTGCATGAACATTTCGGTTTTTCCATTGCAGTAGACCAAAATCAAAATGTAAACAACAGGCAAGGTTAAGAAATTGAGGCATACAAATATTTGGAATATGTAAGTCTCAAACTCAGTGCTCTAAAGCCCAAATGACCACACTTCCAAAAACATCCATAATTAGTGCAATACTTACCTCTAGAGTGCTGGAGAGCAAGAGCCTGGAATTTAAAGCTGGATGAACAGCCCTAGTTTGAATCCCAGGCTCTCATTCCCCAACACTCTTGAGATAGGAACTGAGCAGAATCTGCATATTCTTTCCTGAAAGCTAACCTCTGATCACCACTCGCTGGCTGTACATGAACTGCATCAAGAGGCTCAGTGACGGTGGCTCATGGCTTTACAGAACCAGTTAATGACCACACCAATTTCATCTGAAACCAGAAGACACATCATATCCTACATCTGCAAGTTTGTTTAGAGTGAAAGACCTGATATTTGTGTATGTGAAGTAAACAGACAATGAAGGGAAGGGTAAATAGGCACTTGAAGGCTTGACCAAAAAAACCCCTTCGATCACAAAACAAGTGAGCTGTGAGGGAGAGAGCTTTCAGAAGGCAGGGTAGATTTGACCTTTACAGACTGCTTAAATCAGTCAGAGATGCATAAGCTTTCATAAGCAGCAATTTACTACAGCTTACTGTCAGCCCCTTCCTAGCAGCTGATAAAGTCATTTGCTGCTTATGAAAGTTTAAGCATCTCTGATTTAGTTAGTCATGTTAATCCAAAGTCAGGCAGAAGGCAGGCTAGATGTGCACCTTATAGACTAACTACTTCTCTCTATTTATAGAGCTTGTAGCCACCATACTACCAGCAGATCAAAAGGCCTAATGTTGATGTGTATGTGGGGAAATAAACTGCTAGTCCAGGGAAACATACTACCAGTGTTAGAACTAGTAGGCACTAGGCACTTGGGTAAAATCAAAACCAAATTGGTTTAGCTGCTCTTGGTTAGCTTCAAACTTAAACACAGCCCAGCTTCCCTGTGCTTTACCAGGACATACCCACACCTATTTCATCTTAACAGGCTAGTAGTCATACTTTGCAGACTGACCTTCTGAAAATCTAGAGCAGCGCTGTCCAACTGGTGGCCGACAGACAGCATGCAGGCCACAAGGGGCTTAGTCTGCAGCCCCCCTGGCTCCCTTTGGCCACTGCTCCCCTCCTTTCTGATGCAGCACAGCTGTGGGCTCCAGGGCCCCCCTCCCTTCTCTAGCTGTCACTTCCTGCCCCCACCCCAAGGGGGCACGGCAGGGCATGGTGGTGCAGCTCATGGGGGAGGAAAGGAGGGACCATGGCCCCCAGCTGCTAGGTGGACAGCCCTGATCTAAAGCACTAACCTTGTGGGTAAGGTAATAGAGTGAAACAACTCTATGCTATTAACACTCCTCTGATATACCAAGAAAAATTAATCAAAACTACTCAAGCTGTCCTGTACTAAGTCTGCTTCTAGCACGGATCCAAACTGCTGACTGTCTCTTCAAGGGACAACCTGATTCATGTCATTTCAGGAGAACCTTGTGAGCCATTACTTCTATACAGAGACGCTTGTCTGACTAGAGCATGGCACAGATGTGCCATTTACAGAAGATAAATGAAATCCAGGAGGAAGTGTGCACAGTAAAAAAAGTGTGCATTTCCCCTTCCACCTGGTCTTGGGCTGCTTCAGGAAAAATTGCAAAAGCATTGTAAAATGTTTTTGTTTTAGAGTATCACCAAGAGAGACATTACAAAGCCATGCTTGAATTAGCAAATGCTCCTCATCTCAAGCCAAGTTAAACTCAGCAAGTGTAAAGAAGACATCCCAATAGAAATCTATCAAAGAAAAGCCAAGATGATGTGATCTTAATGTAATTACAAAAATGTCCATACTTGTAACAAAGCAGCTAACAAATTAGCCTTAAGGTTTTTTCCTGCTTTCTCCATTTTCTGTTTTTTCCTTGCCTTCTTCACGCCCCCTCCCCAATCGCACCACCACAGCCAAGTTTTAAACAATACACATGGAAAAGCAGCTTTCAGTCTGTTCCTGGAATAGCTAAGTTAATGAGGCCACATGGCATCCCAGGGCACTCTGGAGGGAAGGGTTCAAAATGCTTATTAGTGCAAGCTGTACTGCTTTAAAAAATGTAAAAAATTAAAAAACTGGCTAGTGTGTGTCAGCTTTTCTCTCCTGCTTCCCAAAGAAAAAGGGCATGCAGATTTCTGACCCATATTACATAAAGAATGAAGCAGTTATGGAAAGAGAGAAAGATCTATTTTCTCTCCAAATATAAAATATAGAAGATACATTTTATCTTCATTTTTGCACATTTTCCCTCTGTACAAAAATGACGTTTATTTCCTCCCTATGGGGACTTTTTACCATCTTGTACCATCTATACTTTTCCCAGAGCCTGACGAAGGGATTTTGATCCCGAAAGCTTGCAGAAAAAGACAATTTTCTTGCGATTTCCCAGTTGATCGAATAAAAGGTATCACTTTGGAACCAAGAGTTCTAGGTTTTTGTACGTGCTCTCAAAATATGATGAATAGATAAACACATATATTTTGCAAGTGTCAGCAGTGGCAAAAACAAGTACCTAGTTTTCTGCCCTATATTGTTCAGATGGCAAGAGATCAAAGTTCATGTGACATTACAACACATTGTGAACACACTTGACTGTACCCAAAGCTCATCTGTTAAAGTGCTTTCGGGCCTTGTTAGTCCCATTTTAGATGGCAGACTGAATATGGTCTACAGGACTCCTACTTGTATCTATGAGCTTGTAAGACGTTAGCATGCCAGGGGTGTACAGCAGGGGAGCCACAAGGGGCCTGATCCTTGAGATAATGCAGCCTCAGCCCCTTCCCTGCCACCCGCCTTGAGGTGCACGTGCCAAGCAAAATGCCTTTGCACGCCACACTTTGGCGTCTGTGCCTGGGATTACCTACCCCTGATGTAGTCTTTAAAATAGTGGCAGCACTGTTTTTACAGGACTCCTACAAAGTGCTGTAGCAGGGCAAAATACAATAATTTCCTTTCACATATGAATATCTTGCTAAGCTGGTAGCAAATGAAGCAGAGGTAGGTAGATGTCTAAGGCTTTAGCCTCTTTCTGATAAAAACCTTATAACTTTTTCAGATGAATCTTCTGGAGAAGATCCTCATCTTGAAGAGCATGTGGGCTTGGGGAAAACTCTACCAAGAGAAATGGCTCAGCATCACCCTGAAAAGGAATCCAGAAGTTGGAATCACACCTGATCTGGCAGAAAGCACCAGAAGCTGCAGTAGTCACTCACTGAATCAGGGGACGTTGCTGTCTGTCATCACCATGTCGAGGGCGAAATCATGCTAATTACGCTAATGAGGGGTGTTAGTCTTCGCTCAAATCTCCTCTAAGAGAACGTGGACTCGTGGAGCTGCTCTTGGCAAGGCGTTTGCCCACAGCTAGGCAAAGAAAAGAAAAATCTTACTTGCCTGGGATACTGCTGCTGCTACTGCTTCTATAGCAGCATCAGTTCAGGCCACAGCAACCCAATCGCCAGGCTCCTGGGAGTCAATCCTGATGCCCTATTCGCTCCCCTCCTCAAAGCCCCACATAGTGGGCGGAAGGCTATGCCTGCCCTAGCAAAGGCATCCCAGTGGGGATGGAGGAAATCCCATTCTGTTTGCCCTTCTCATCCCCCAATTCCCAGATACAGTGCTTGGTGCAGCCTGGCACTGCCCAGATCCTGTGGCCAGGGTGGAGCAGCACAGGGCTGCCAGTGCTGCGGCAGTCTCCCAGCAGAGGCGTTTCTAGCACCTCCTCACAGTCAGTGCCGGAGGCTGGAGTTCCCTTGGTCCTGCCCTAGTTACACGCTGGGGGCTGGTATAATGAATTGCATTTGCCTGCCCTTCATTTTGAAAGTGTTACTGATAGGCAAAGTTTTGAACCACCACATCACACCTGACTTTGTGACCGCCCAAAGTATAATCTGATTTAACATAACTCAGCATTAAGTGTATACAAAAGAGACAAATGTCACTGTCCTAAAAATACTATTGAACTGTGTAACCTTCACGTTCCAGGCCTGTTCTCCTGTAGGTTCACAATGTCCTTATTGCAACATTTTTAATTTGGTGAATGCAAAGTTCATTTGAAAGCAAAAACAATGGGTCAAGGCATTCATTTCATATGGAGGCATAGACAGCTGCAACACACTCATCTCAGAAATTCAGTACTTTACTTCCTCTTCTTTACTTCAAAACTTCAGTTCATGCAATTCCCTGATAAAGTATCATCATTTACTGATTACTATAATATGCTAAAACTGCATGTTATTTATGATTACCATCAAAGACTTGCTGAAATTGCTATATAAAAAAGGGGATAATTTTCAGCAAATAAATGCAAACACAAAAAGGTTCATCTCCAGAGTCTTATTTTCTAACAAAAATTCTGCAGGTTCCCTCTTAGAAAAGTCAAATTTTAACTCTAAAAGGATTTTGCTACTAGACAGTAGCTAATCAAGAGTTCAAGTTCGTGTGAACACTATTTAACACCCCCCTGCTTTTATTAAGGGATTGTAGCTGGATTATATCCCTAGACCCTTCATGCATCCCACTGCATCACCCATTTGTAGTAATATAAAGACAGGGCAGACAGGATTCCAACAACATCTGCAAGTTATTTTCCTCCCCAAAAGCAATCAGCTATCCAGTTGATGAGTCTGCAGTGCTATATTGAAGATGAATGCCCACTGATGTAAGAAGATGACTGATTAAGCAGAGAAGTCACTCTATACCCAGTCTGGCAAGTGTTCTCTGGCACGCTGCTAGACCCTTTTAACATAAAAGCAGGCAAGCATATTGAACAAGTGGAAAATTAGAACTAGAATCAATTAATAGTTAAAATCAATAATCTGGCAGGGTATTTAAAAATAAAAAAACAAACAAACATTCTCATCAGCTCCTTCTGATGTGTCCAGACCAGGGGTAGGCAAAACACAGCCTGTGGGCCACATCTGGCCCACCAGGCACTTTCAGCCCACAGTGCCCACCAACAAATTGTACCCCACCCAGCCCTTCCACCCATGAGAATGGGAGCAAGGCACCCAGGTGTACACCCCCCCACCCCTCCGCAACATACCCTATTGTGCCTCGCTCCCACCTTGGTGGGCAGAAGGGCCCAGCTAGCAGGCAGCTTCTGGGAGAGGCCACTGCCACTGCAGCTGCAGCCTCCGGGAACCTGCTCCACTTTCCTGGTCTCGCTGCTGGCTCCAGGCAGCTAGTAGGGAAGCGGCAGGGGTAGAGGCCAAGCTGCAGCGGGGCAGGAACACAGAACGTGGGGCTGGAGCTGACACCAAAACAGACCCCATGCCCAGGGGGCAGCAGCAGCGCAGAGCTCATGTGGGCAGTGTGTGGGTGTAAGGGAGGGTGGAGGGTGTGAGGACCCACCAGACACTCCCCCATGGTACACAGCCCTGGCAGGTGGCGGCAGCAGCAGCAGCAGCAGGTGCAGCACTAGTGCCCAGCGGGGTGCAGCTCTAGTCAGGGCTGCACATCACAGCAAGGGGCGCAGCCTCCACCAGGCAGTCTCTATTGCCAGTGCTCCGTGCCACGCATGTGCAGCCCCTGCACTTGCGCAGCATGGGAGGGAAGCCCCAGGCACCTTCACCTGGGAGGCAAGAAAGGCAGTTGGCTCCAGCGTGTGGGGCTTTCCTCCTGTGCCATGGGAAGGCGGGGGTTACGCATGCGTGGTGGGGAGCGCCGGTGATAGAGACTGCCCAGTGGAGGCTGCGCTCCTCACTGCAATGTGCAGCACTGGCAGGAGCTGCACCCTGCCGGGCACCAGCAGCTGCGCTGGGCACCAGTGCCCTGAGTGCCCCTGCCTGCTGCTGCTGCACCATGGCATACCTGCAGTGGGAGAGGGGGGTCCCCACATCTCCCCACCCTCCCTCAAACCCCACACACCTACACCCTGTCCCCACAACCCCATGTACACAACCCCCCAACATACCCTATGTCCCCCACACCCCCCCACAAAGCCCCACACTCCCCAACCATACCCCCTCCACAATATACAAGACTAAGTATTTATTTTTGAGATATTATGCAATGATCTCTATATACAGTACACAAATGCAAATCATGACAATTTTTTTTGTAATAAAATTAAAATATGTTATAGTACGTGTTTGACTTTTAGTGCATGATCTGTTTTTTTTTCTGGTTCTAAGATGGCAACCCCCACCTCCCAAAAAGAGTATTTCTAGGGGGTAAGAGAAGGGACTTCCGGGGATAAATGTCAGGGGGTTAGGGGTGGGACTTCTGGTCCCAAGATGGCGACCAGGGGGTGGGACTACTATAAAGGGGCAGGGCTACTGATACAGCCCTGGACAACTCACCAAAACTCATTAAGTGGCCCTCCACCCGAAATAATTGCCCACCCCTGGTCTAGACTACCATGAGAATGAATTTTCTACAAGCAGAAAAATTATTTCAGAAAAGGGTAAAGAACCTGAAATTTAGAAGTTTCAACAAGACTTATTCATTCAGCAAACACAATTATCTCTCCTCTTACTAATGATGGAGTCCAATAAAAAAACCTAAAGTTTTCTGGAGAGAAGGCAAATTTGGATAAACAGCCTGAGTCCGCAAGACTTAAGAATGATGTACAGTCTTATGATCGGGGATCCAGGTTTTCCGTTTCCTAAGGGAAAACGGAGTAAAACACGGATTTTCCCCCTTACCAAAGTAAAACACAGATTTCTCATTTTAGCAGAGAAACCCACAGATTTTGCACTTTTGCAACAAGCCCTCTGCAGAGTTGCAGCCCACAAGGGGCTGGGGGGAGCAGGAGGAGGACAGTAGGGCAGGGGGTGCCATGTGTATGTATACGCACATGGCTGCCAGGCAGCCTGGAGAGCAGCTCCTGCAGGTAAGTTGTGGGGAGAGGTTGAGAACCCCATAGTGAGGGAGGGTGGGAGTTGGGCAGGGCTGGGGCTCCTGCCCAGCTGGGTGGTGCATGAGGTTTAGGACCTGGGGCTGCAATGTGCAGCCGCAGGGCCCCAGCGGGGAGTGGGACAGGGCTGCGGGCAGATTGTCCAAGGGCTGGGGCCAGCTCTGCACCGCTGCGTGCACTCCTGGGGGGCAGAGGGGACCCATGCCTTTCCAATCTATGTGCAGGGTGGGGGCAGGTGTGGGCTGCCCACTGCAGGCTCACTCAGGTCAGGCTCCTACCATGCTCCCCCACTCTGGGGCCTCCACAACACAGCGGGCAGAGTGCAAGCTCACAGGAAAGTTGCTTGCCACTGCAAGCTCTGCACTGCCCTGGTGATGTCCCCGCCTCATGGTCTCTGCTGCCCCCGTTCACACACGGGAAGCATCTCCAGGGCAGTGCAGAGCTCACAGCAGCAAGCAGCTCCCTCCTTCAGGGCATGAAGACATCCATCTGCTGGCCTGACCTGTTGGCTCGAGAGGTCTGCTGCCTGCCAAGAACTTGCATCTGGGATGTCATGGAAAGATTGCTGAGACTCATCCAGCCCTCTGACTACTATCCCATGCTGTTAATCTATGCAGGCACTAATGACACTGCCAGGGGTGACTTTGAGCAGATCAAGAGTGACTATATGGCTCTGGGTACAAGAATAGAGAGGAGAGAGGCCCAGATGGTGTTCTCATCGATCCTCCCTGTCAAGGATAAAGGTCCAACTAGGAACAGGCACATCCTGGAGATCAACACATGGCTGTATAATAGCATCGGCAGCAGGGCTTTGAGTGTCCTCATGTATGAGTTTGCTAATCTACACAGGAGGGCTTTAAACTGGGTCCACTGAGGGATGGAAATAAAAGACCAGAGGTAAGTAAAGAACTATGGGACCTGGATAAAAAATTTAAGCGGAAGCAATAATTCTGAGGGAGAAGATAGCACAATTAGACACCTGAAATGTTTATATACTAATGCAAGAAGCATAGGGAATAAATAGGAAGAACTGGAGGTCCTAGTACAATCAAGAAATTATGATGCAATTGGGAGTACAGAAACATGATGAGATAGCTGACACGATTAGACTGCTGTCATGGATGGGTATCATTTGTTCATGAAAGACACTCAGGGGAAAAGGAAGGAGGAGTTTCCCTATATATAAAGATGACCATGTGCTCTGAGGTGCAGTATGAAGTGGAATAAACGTCAGAGGGAAGAGCAGCAGGGGTATATGTCATGGTGGATATCTCCTATAGACC